AAACAACAAGTAGGATCTCTTATTAAAAAGCTTCTGCACAGCAAGAGAAACCACTAACAGTGTGAAAAGACAACCCACAATGTGGGAAAAAATTTTCGCCTGCTGTTCCTCAGACAAAGGTCTGCTATCTAGAATCTATAAAAAACTTTAAAAGTCAGACCTCCCAAATTTAAAAACCCAATCCAAAAATGGGCATCTGAAATGAACAGACATTTCTCAGACAAAGAAGTAGAGATAGCAAATAAACTTATGAAAAAATGTTCAACATTGGTGGTCATTCGAGAGATGCAAATGAAAACAACACTGACATTCCACCTCACCCCAGAAAGAATGGCTGCTATCATGAAATCAAGCAATAACAAATGCTGGTGTGGCTGTGGGGAAAGAGGAACCCTGCTCCACTGCTGGTGGGAGTGTGGACTGGTGCAACCACTGTGGAAATCAGTATGGAGATACCTCAGAGAACTAGGACTGGAAGTCCCATTTGACCCAGCTATTCCCCTGCTGGGTATCTTCCCAAAAGAATGAAAAGAATCATACCACAGTGATCTATGTGCACCATGTTCATAGCAGCACAGTTTGTAATTGCTAAAACTTGGAAGCAGCCCAATTGCCCATCAAGTGGAGACTGCATAAAGAAAATGTGTTTTTTTAAAAATAAAATGGAGTACTACTCAGCCATAAAAAATGAGAAATTTGACATTTATAGCTAAATGGATGCATACTGAGGCAATACTCTTAAGTGAAATAGACACGTGTAAATACTGGATAGTTTCTCTAGTGTGAGAAACAGTGTAAATAAGGATTAAAGTTATAGTAGATAATGTGAAATAGGAAGAAAAGGGGCAGGGGGGAAGTGGGAGGGGTAGGGGAAAAGAAAGAAGGGAATGGAATTAATATGAGAAAATGAAAAAATGGAAACAAAGTCTTTATAAATAGGGAGGGATAGAGGGGTTGAAGGGGGAAGGCAGGGGAATGGGGAAAAAATAAGAAAAAAGAGATTATGTAAAGGTTCAAATTTCCAGTGATGATTCTCATTATATTGTATACCTAAAATGTACCAATAATTTTTTTTTAAAAAGAATGTGACTATATACCCAAAATACACCTACTGTAGTCCTGTACTCACATTCTAGTGCCAAGTCAGTTTGCTTCTTTGCTTTGTATGACCTCAATCCAGAGGTAACATTTTAAGAACTTGTGTTTTAAGCAAGGAGAGATCTCCTAATTGAGAAGACTTAAAACATTTGGAGTTTTCCTTTTCCTTTCCAGCACTACAGATTAGGTCTGAGAATGGTGAAGGCTTAGTGGTAGGAGAACTCTGGCATCTTTCATGGTAAAGCTCATGGGATTATCAGAGGAGCCAGAGTATGGATCTAACTGAACTTGAAAATTGCTTTTTTTAAAAAAAAGTTTTTTCTGCTTTTCCTGCTGTAAGATGGGAGACATACTCTTAACCTCTCATTGCCTCACAGGGCATGGTGAAATCTTAAACAGCATTAGGTTAGAAAGCTATATCTGTGTCTCCTCAAACGAATATTAACCTGAGGTGGTATTTCAGTGTCTTCCAAAGTGAGGGGGAATGCCAGTATCCCATTGTGATTATTTATTTTGGTTTATAGATGTTGTCTCTATTCATAAACCTTCAGGCAAATATTTTAGAAAAGTAATGCCTCAGAATGATTTATTGGGGCCTAATGAAATATTTGGGGACTTATGAGCCTATAAAATATTTTTGGAGGAAATGTGAGTTTTCCAGAGGGGGAAGACTTAATATTTTAAAAGAGTTTATTTGCTGCGAGACTGAATAGAAATATTGGGAGGTTTCCTCTGCCAACAATCCTCCCATCTTTTGTATATCATTTGGTTTGTACAATTAGAGTAGTTTGTCACTCTTACTCTATTTGAGTAATGATCCTGTTAGGCAGGTTAGGGGAGTGAAAAATTTAAGTTTTGTAGAACTTGTGCCAAGTAGTAGACAACAAACTCTAGATTGTTTATTTATGTATTTTTTACCAGGTACCATCGCCAAATATTCTTTACACAGATGACTTTTCTGTACCATAAATGTATCAAGTTCTGGGATTTTAAAAATATTTTAATATTTTACTGATGCCAATATCTATGGCTGCCTGGAACAGGATTTTTCATGTCTCACGGACCCACATGGCTTTGGGTCAGAGGGCTGCAATTGAACCTTGATTTGCTTCAAAAGAAATGAAACTTTCTTCATAGTGTTGGTATCCATTGACAAACTCTCTCAAAGGTCCATTTCTGCAAACCTGCAACAGCTATCGAGAGCCCTATTTGAGATTTTACCTGTTTTTTTGTACTGGAAGTTGAACCCAGGAATTTCACACTGTTATATTCCCAGTACTTTTTAAATTATTGTTTTATTTTCATTTTGAGATAGGTTCTTATTAAATCATTGAGTTGTCTAGGGAGGGCTTAAATTTGCAATTCATCTTCTATCTGCCTTGCTCTCCCAGAGTGCTAGGATTCCAGGCATCTGCTACTACGCCATGCTGAGTAGTTTTGTTGTGTTTGGTTTGGTTTGGTTTGAGTTTTTTGCTTTTTTTTTCAATTTCTTAAAATTTTGAGATAGGGTCACAGTAAGCTGCTAAATTGCTCAGGCTGGGCTCGAACTTGCAATCCTTCTGCCTCCATCTCCTAGAGCGCTGGGATTATAGGTGTGTGCCTTTCTCTCCTACTTCTATGGCTTCCTTATTAAAATTCTGTTTCCATCCAGGTGTGGTGGCGCATGCCTGTTATCCTAGCACTCAAGAAGCTGAGGCAAGAGGATCTCAGTGAGTTGGAGGCCAGCCTAGGCTACACAGTCAGTTCAAAGCCAGTCTGGGCTGTATGGTGAGACCCTGTCTCAAAAAAACAAAAATAAATTTAAAAATTAAGTTAAGAATTTAACAAAGGAAAATTCAGTTTCCTGGCCAGGACTGGTGGTGATGCAGGCTTGTAATCCCAACATGTTTGAGCCCAGCCTGGTGAATGTAGGAACAGAGCTGAGACTCTGTCTCAAAATCAAAAAAAAAAAAAAAGATTGTAAAGAAAGGTTGGGGATGTAGCCCAGTGCAAAGGCCCTGGATTCAGTTCCCAGTACCATTAAATAAATAAACTAAGAAAAATATTAAAAATTTTATTTCCTTGACATGGGGACCCCCTATCATTTATGGTAATAGAGAACACTGGATATGCAGTTGGATTATTTCTTGTGGATTAGGCTTGGATACAGCCCCATACCTCCTGCCATCCCTCCTCTTCCCACAGAACCAAGCACAGAGCTACTTAGGAGTTGGTAGCCAACTAATTAAGGACTAGCATTTATTCCTACAATAGCTGGTGTGGTAGGATGGCCAAGAAACTGATACATAGGGCCTGATTTTCAAGGTAGCTTGTACACTGCTCAGCTGCAAGGGTGCCAGTCACATGGGTTGTGAACTGCAGTTATCCCCTAGGGTTGTGCAGTGCAGTACCCTGAATATCTTCCCATGTCTGCACGTAACCAGTATCAACATGTTACTGCCTTACACTGGCTGGTCTGAAGACAATTCCTGTCTGCTTCCCTTCATATTTTTGTGGTTTGATGGAAAGTTAAAAATTAGTGGGAAGTGAATCTAACCCTTTCATAACTCTATAGATCTTTTTTTTTTCCTTTGTGAAATTCTGTCCTGAAATCTTGGAACAGGAAAACCTGGGAAGCTGGCTGAAATGCAGATATTTCAGCTTCTGGAGAGACTTAAAATCACCTTAGAAGGGGAGCTAGGGGTTTTAATAAGTAAGGCTGTAACTGAAGTGTTTCCTAATGGTTGTTGAAATAACTTCACAAAAATGGTAATGCCTCAACAGGTTAATACCATCTTCTTTAACCAGTTGTACTGTCTATTGTAAACCTTTTAAGACTCACTTAAATGAGAAACTACTTAGGTAACAGTTGTTCTGTGCCTGCCACTGTGCCAGCCACATGGGAGAATCAGATGTGAAAAATGGACCTTTTGCAGTCAAGGGGTTAATAATCGATTTGGGAAAAAAGGTACACAATAAATATGTACAAATGCACATTTATATAGGAGCATACACATAAAAATATAAAAATATCTTTTCATTAAATGAGCAGGATTGTTAGATTTTATAATTGAGTGATACTTTCTTTAGTAATCAGGTATAGCTCTCATCTGCAGTGACTCAGTTGCAATACTTCAAGCAGGCATTTTCATGAAAGACGAATGGAGCTTTAGTGAGGTAAGGTGCTCCATATTCTTTTCTGTTAGTCCTCTCACAGTTCTGTAGGAGGAGCTGCAGAGGTACTGAGTCAGTACAATGCCAGTACATTTGGTAGCCCAGTTTGAATGGGATTATTTGGATAATTTGAGAACTTTTGTCAAGTTGAAAACTGAACCCCAAAATTGCAGTGTAAAGTTAAAGAATTTGACTGCTGACTTTTCTTCCCATCTTCATTGTCTTCAAGTGCAGCTTGATAAATTTTTTTTAGCGTAAATAGGGTCCTAAAGGCATTGAATATGTACTTCAAGTCCATAACTGATCTCTAAATCTTCCAAAAACATTTTAATAACTTATAGACTGTTTTAAAGACTTACGTATGTTATATATGTCTGTTATGTTTTTCCTGCTACTAGTGATTGAATTCTGTCCCGCTTTCCTAGAAAATAACCAATGAATGTTGAAACAGAATAAGTGAGATGACAATAATGGTAGCCCTTTTACCCAGTTTCCTGTTGCCTTTAGACTGTGTTCATGTGTGTGAGTTGATTCCCCCTTCCTTTTGGTATGATTATTAATTTTCATTTTTTGGTTGTTTCCATGAAGACTTTTGCTTTTACTTTTACCACAGACTGTGTATGTTTAGTCTGTTTATGTATAGTCTGTATGTGTTTAAAATTGAGTTACTTCAGTATAAGAAGTAACAGAAGTACCTGTGGAATCATAATCTGACTTCCTTTGTTCTTAATGGATTTCTCTCTTTTCAGAGGATGTTAAGCAGGTGTTTGGACAGACCACAATTCATCAACATATTCCATTTAACTGGGATTCAGAATTTGTACAGCTACATTTTGGGAAAGAAAGAAAAAGGCACCTGACCTATGCAGAGTTCACTCAATTTTTGCTGGTGAGTGTAGCTTTAAAAAAGTAGTTAAGTAAAATGAGGGATCAGATTGTGTGTAAAAAGATACTCTGACTTGAGCCCTGAACTGCAATTTACTGCAAACTGTGTAGTGCTGGCAAGAATTTTCCCATTTAGAAGTATTTCTCTTTGTCTGTTGAAACCATAGCATTAAATGGGATCTTAAATGATTATGTAGAACCTCTTCCTGCATAAAAGGGATACACATTGAGGCCCCACAAAATCAGATGGTTTCCTCAAGGTCACTTAGGTCAGGTCAGGAGGGGCAGAATTGGCGAGTGGCTCCATTATGTACAGTACTGACCTTTTGGTTTTCCCTGAGAAATTAGCAGTGCCATCTGAGGCCTTTTATAGACTATCACAGTGTTTCAAACTTAGCTGTATTTGGAGTCAGCTGGGGAGCTTTGAAAACTGTAGTTGACTTGGTTATACCTCAGGAGTTGGATTTGCTGAGGGCTGGGGGTAGAGCCTGAGCATATGACTCTTTGAAGCTTCTCAGGTAGCCCTAATGTGCAGCCTGGTTTGAGAACCACTGTTCTAAGGGCATCTGCTTCCCATGTGCATCTCTGAAGGAGTCACCTGAATTTCTGGGGTGCACCTTCTCTAGCCCACTCTCTGCTGCCTATCTGCACCTTTCTTTCATTGGGATCATATCATTAGAGCACTGATGATGCTGGCAGATGATTTTTTAAAAATATGATTAGTTTAGTTTTTTTTCCTGAAGCATTATTTTAAAAAATGTTCTAACTCCTATGTTAGCATTTAGTCACATTCATTACCTTTTATTTTTTTTCGGTACCGGGGATTGAACTCAGGACCTTGTGCTTGCAAGGCAGGCGCCGGAACCTGAGCTAAATCCCTGGCCCATTATTACCATTTACTATGCTACATAGTATTTGCTGTGGTTTTTATTTGCTTCTATTTTGGGAAACTTAAGATGCCCTAAATCTGCTTTTGCATTTTCTTTTTAAAACATATAAATTTCTATGAATCCATGTTTTTAGTTCTGTAAACATAAATATAGTTAGGTGGAGAATAAAACGTTACTTGTTGGATTTTTTGCTGTTGTTTACACAGGACATTGGCACGCTGTAGGAGGCGGTATTCATTTTGATGATGAATAATTACAATAATGCCATTGAGACAAATGCTTCAAATTGACTTTATGGAACACACCTAATTAACTTTAGTCTTAATGGGATGTTAGCAATAGTAAGGATGATCGCATTTTCCCCTTTAAGCAAGTATCAATTATGCTGAATTGAGTCAATTGTAAACCATTCACAGCAGCTTCTAGGCCTTCTAAAGATATAGGGAAGCCAGAGTCAATGGTTAGAGGACTCAGGGATTCCTAGTTATGTTTCCAGCTGCAGCTTGTAGGACATTCACATTGGCTTCTTCTGTGATGGTAAATAGAATTGTACGACAGTGTCCTGCATGGGATGATGATTTTGACTTTCAATCCAGAATGGAAGCATTAAACTTTTATGAGATTAAAATGGCGTTGGTGGTGAATATCTTGGCCAGGGCCTTTTGTGCCCAAATCCAGTTCCAGACTTAAGGGAAGTAGTGCATGCATCATCATAGGCTTATGTGACTGCCTGTGAATACCAGTTGTGATATCTATCCTTGGGTCACTTTCTTCTGTTTCACCTGTTCTGTTTACTTCCTTTGAACTCTTTTCTGAATGCAGGTAGAGCTTCAGACCTCTACTTCAGATGTTTGCTTCCTTAGAGCTCTTTTTTAGATGCACATAGCTTCTGAAAGATATGAGTGAATTTAATCTCCTGTGTTTCAGGCTTTCGCTTTGTGAGGCATGCATGTGCCGCTGCCTTTCTGCTCTAGGGCAGGGATCAGACACATAGGCCCCAGCTTCCTGGCTGGCGCCAAGGTTGTAAAAGCAGATGCTTAGCTATTTGAAATTGGAAAGAGCTGCACCATGCATGCTGATACCTGTCACTGATGAGGAAGAGGAGCAGCTGTAGGGACAGCTAAGAAGTGCCTGTGGTTTCTAAGAGCCTGAGTGTGCAAGTAGCTCAGGTTGGTTCCAGCCAATATACATGTTATCATTCTTGTGTATGTGCATATGTTTGTGATTTATGGGCAGTATCATTCTTTGCAAGTTCTCATTATTTTCTTCATTTAATGAGTGTTTTACTGTATCTAATGGGAGTTTATAATAAACCACCCTACAGACTTGACTCATGTGTTCATCTTTGTATGGTCTGGATAAGGTCCCAACCCACCAAGGTGGTGGCAGTCATGGGCATTGCTTACATGGTGAGCTGGTGTGTCTTTTTCTGTACTTTGTTTATAAAATTCGTAAAGTGGCAAATCAGTTTGATATTCATTGAGCTAAAATTGCCTTATTTGTATTGTGCATACAACCAGTAACGCTGAAGCAAGTAACAAAGACACAAAACCTCTGTCCTATAGTCTTGTTCCTCGTGTGTAAAACAATTTCAGAAGGAAGTAGGGCCACTTTTCTGTTATCCCTTCACATGTATTACTTCAACTGCTGCTGTGTTTTATGCCTGATTCTTTCATACGAACCAATGAATAACAGTGTGTATGCGGGAAAGTAAAGAGTGTAAGTGTGCCGTTTTTTTGATGTGTATGTACTTTAAATGGTATTTGTAGTACTAGGGATTGAAACCAAGTCCTTCATTCTGAGGCCCCCTCACCACCCGTTATTAAATTGTTTTAGTTTTTATATTGAGACAGAGCTTCACTAAGTTGCTAAATTGCCCAAGCTAGGCTCAGACCTTTGATCCTCCTGCCTCAGCCTTCTAGAGGCACAGCTTTTAAAATGTTCTGTAAACTTTTCCATACACCTCTACTCTCAATTCCTAGAATAAAGCTCTAGTTTTGAGGGTGCTAGTTTTAAGATGGATTCTGATACACTGAGATTATTAGAAAACAATTTGGAGGAATTTTTCTCTTCTATGCCTGGTGGATCTTCCGTTATCCGGTGGTGACATTAACCTATAACTCTCTTCCCTATTTCGAAATATATATTTGGTTTCATAATTATTTCTCATGAGAAGCAAAGCATTCATTCAAGCATATGTTGTTGAGCATGCAGTGTTTGTCAAGAAGCCTTCTATAAAGCACTGTGAGATGCAGAAAGGACAATTCTTTTTTTTTTTTTATTGACATATGTCTGATTTTCCCAGACTCCCTGTTCTTTTTTTTTT